GGTAGGGAACCAACAACAGGAAAATAACATGACAAAGATAAGCCAATACATATCAGGTATAACCATTAATGTGAATGGGCTCAATTCACCAATCAAAAGAAACAGACTGGCAGTGTGGATCAAGAAACAAAATCCAACAATATGCTGTACACAAGAAACACATTTAAATCCAAAGGGAATTCTTAGACTAAAAATCAAAGGATGGAAAACAATACTCCATGTGATCTAGAAAAGAGCAGGGGTAGCTATTCTGTTTGCAGACAATGTGAACTTCAACCCCAAAATGTTAAAAAGAAATGAAGAAGGTCACTACATACTGATTAAGGGAAAACTTCAAGAGGAACATATAACAATCATAAATATATATGCATCAAATATGGGACCACCAAACTATGTAAGACAAATATTGTTGTTTGTTGTTGTTGTTGTTTGTTTTTGTTTTTCTTTTCTGGTACTGGGAATCAAACTCATGACCTCGTGCTTGCCAGGCAAGCGCTGTGCCACTGAGCTAAATCCCCAGCCCCTTGCAGGACAAATATTAAGAGACATGAAAAATCAAATAAGTAATAACACAATTGCAATGGGATACCTTAACATCCCATTGTCCCAAAGAGATAGATCAACTAGATAAAAAATTAGCAGGGAGATGAGAGAAATGAACCAAACTTGTGAGCAAATGAACTTAGTAGAACTTTACAGAGTATTCCACTCAACATCAGCATACACACAGGATGTTTTGCTCTGCTGCACATGGAATGCTCCCTAAAATAGGCCATATACTACCAACAGAACATGCTTAAGTAAATGCAAAGGAATTGAAATTATCCCATGCATATTATCTCACCACAGTGTAAGGAAATTGGAAACTATGGGCAAAAGAAACCACAAAAACTCTTATAAGCATAAGCAAATTAAATAACACCCTCTTGAACAGTCAATGGGTCATAGATGAAATTAAAGAAGAAATTAAACAATATCTACAATCAAACAAAACTGCAGCTACAACTTATCAGAACCTGTGGTACATAATGAAAGTAGCTCTCAGAGGAAAATTTATAGTAGTGAATTCCCACATCAGGAAAACAGAACAAGCACACATAAACAATCTTATGCTGCACCTCAAGCTTCTAGAAAAACAAGAGCAAGTAAAGCCTAAAGCTCAAAGAAAGGAGGAAATTATAAACTCAGAACAGGAATTAACACAACTGAGACTAAGAAAACAATGCAAACAATTAACAAATTGAAGACTTGGATCTATGAAAGAATAAATAGAATTAATAAACCCCTAACCAATGTTATCTAAAACAGAGAGAAAAATTCAAATTCATGCAATAAGGGATGGAAAGGATGAACTCTACAGATCCCGTGGAAATTCAGAAGATGATCAATACTTACTTCTAAAATCTTTACTCTTACAGGATGGAAAACAAAGAAAAAAGGACAGATTCCTAGAAACATGATTTTCCAAAGTTTAATCAAGAAGATATAAAAATTCTGAATAACAATATCAGTCAATGAAATTAAAAATGCAATTGAAGACTTACCAACAAAGAAAATCCCAGTTCCTGATGGATTTACAGCTGAATTCTACAAGAAATTTAGAGATTTAACACCAATACACCTCAAATTCTTTAATGAAAGTATATCCCGATACCAAAACCAGAGAAAATATCCAACAAAAAAGAGAACTAATGGTGAATCTCCCTAATAAACATAGATGTAAAACTCCTCAATAAAATATTAGCAAACAGAATGCATCAAATCATCAAGAAAATTAAACACCATGACCAAGTAGAATTCATCCCAAGAATGCAGGGATAGATCAATTTACACAAATCAATAAATGTAATACACCACATCAACAGAGCCAAAGGCAAAAGACACATGATCATTTCAATAGATGTAGAAAAACTTTTGATAAAATCCAACACTCATTCATGATGAAAAGCCTCCAGAAAATAGGAATAGATGGTCTTTACTTCAATCTGATAAAAGCCATCTATGAAAAACCAACAGCCAACATCATACTAAATGAACAAAAATTGAAACTTTTCACTTTAAAACTCAGAACAAGACAAGGATGTCCACTGTCACCACTCCTATTCAACACAGTTCTGGAAAAGTTAGCAAGAGCAAATAGACAAGAGAGAGAAATAAGAGGAATAAATATAGGAAAGAAAGAAGTTCAGTTATCATTATTTGCAGGTGACATGATACATCAAAGACCCCCAAAGCTCCACCAAAAGACTTCTGCATTTAATAACCAAATTCAGCATCATAGCTGGATAAAAAGTCAATAATCAAAAATCAATAGGATTCTAATACAGAAACAAGAAACTCACTGAAAGAGAAATTAGGAAAACCACACCCTTCACAGTACCATATAAATAAATGAAATACTTAGGAAACAATCTAACAAAGGAAGTAAGAGATCTATACAAGGAAAATTACAGTACTCTAAAAAAGGAGATTAAAGAGGATGTAAGAAAATGAAAGTATATCCCTTGCTCATGGATTCGAAGAACCAATATAATGAAAATGGCCATACTCCCAAAGTTGTAGAAATTTAATGAAGTCCTAATCAAAATACCATTAGCATACTTCACAGATCTAAAGAAAACATTCCTAGAACTGATCTGGGACCAGAAGAGACCTAGATGGCAAAGCAACCTGGGAAACAAAGGAAAGGCAGGAGGTATCACAATCCTTGCCTTGAAATTATACTGCAAAGCTACTGTCATAAAATCAGTATGGTACTGGCAAAAAACAGACCTGAGGATCAGTGGAACAGTTTAGAAGATGCAAACACAACTACAACCACACTCAGCCACCTTCTCTTTGACAAAAGGGCCAAACATGTTCACTGGAAGCAGGATAGCCTCATTAATAAATGGTGCTGGAAACTGGCTGTCCATATGCTGAATACTAAAACTAGGCCATGCCTCTCACCATGCACTAAACTAAAGTCAACATGGATCAGAGATCTAAATATTAAAACCACAACAGTAAACACTAAACACTGAATCTAGTCGTGAAAGTAGGTCAAAATCTTGATGACATATGGGTAGGTAGAGAGTTCATGAACAAAAACCAAACTGCACAGGAAATACTTCAGAGAATAAACAACTGGGATTTTCTCTTCTTAAAAAACTTTTGCCCATCAAAAGAAATCACCAGCAGTGTGAAAAGAAAACTCATGAATTGGGAAAAAAATTTTAGCCAACTCTCCCTAAGACAAAAAGCTTTTATTAAGAGCATATAAAGAATTGAGAAAAAAAAGACCCCTCCCAAAGACCTGATCCAAAAAGGGTCATCTGAGATGACTAAACACTTCTTAGATGAAGAAATATAAATGGCAAATAAATACATGAAAAAATGTCCAACGTCATTGTTCTTTCAAGAAATGCTAATTAAAACAGCACAAAAATTCCATCTCACCCCTGAAAGAAAGGCTGTCCTCAAAAATCAACCAATAGCAAAAGCTGGTGTGGCTGTGGGGAAAAGAGAACCATTTTCCCCTGTAGGTGAGAGTATAGACAGATGAAACCACTGTGGAAGTCTTCTTACAAAAGAATTGAAAACATCATACCACAGTGATATATGTGTGCTCATGTTTATAGTAGCACAAGTTGTCATAGCTAAATCTTGGAAGCAACCCAAATGCCCATCAGCCAAATAACTGATGAAAAAGATATGAAATTTTTATACAATAGAGTATTACTCAGCTATAAAGATAGATAAACTCAAGACTTTTATAGGTAAATGGATGCAACTAGAGACCATACTTATAAGTGAATTAAGGAAGACTCACATGTGTAAACATCATATTGTCTCAGTAATGTAAAAAACTGAAAGAGTAAATGAGATCTAAATACTCAATAGATATTGTGAAAGGGAAAGAAATTGTTTAAATGAAAAAAACAACTGGGATGGGGAAAGGAGAAAAAAAAGAAGGGGGAATATATAGATAGATAGATAGATATAGATATATAGAAGAATATATATATATATATATATATAAGATAGTTCAGATCAATGTACTACTAATTTCTATTAGTTCACTGAAAGGAACAGTTAGTGCTTATATTATTTGATTAATTTTATACACCTATAAATGGTAATCTGAGCACCAACTTTGAAGATAATAATATGCAATAAAATATTCATTGTTCTTTTCCTATCATCCTGTTTGGAAATTCTGTTATCAGTTTAATTGTCTGTTTTATTCTCTTTAAAATGAATTTTTAAAAAGTATGACATCTAGGTACTCTAAAATATGGATACAGTGGATATTCTCACAAGGATCTAAAAGGGCTTCCTGTCTTCAGCCTTCTTTCCAGCTTAGAAGGGCTTCATTATCTGTGACTCCAATGAAAAGGACAGAAATCATCTGAGATGACTAAACACTTCTCAGATGAAGAAATATAAATGGTAAATAAATACATGAAAAAATGTTCAACCTCATTGTTCTCTCAAGAAATACAAATTAAAACAAATCAAAAATCAACCAATAGCAAATGCTAGTGTTTGTAGCAGCATGTAGACAAGGGATAAACAGTCAGCCCATTGGAGTCAGGTAGACTACAGAGGACCAGACATCCTAATGACAGAGGTGCTGCAGGATTCAGTGTATTTCTTACATAATGAGTTCAAGCAAGTGATTTCCTTCCACCTCAAGACTTTCAACTTTCAGAGAATTATGGTTTTTCAAGCACTTGGAAGACATCATGCACAAAGACCCCCATAGTATTTATCTTGAAGATGGCAGTTCCATATCACAACCAGAACTCTGACATGGATGAAATGCACTGACATTTGTTGTGCTTTACAGATCAATGTGTGCTTTCCTGAATGAAGCAAATCTCTAACATTGCCTCAGAATGGACAGGCTACAATGATGAGCAATATGTTTATGAATAGAATATTTATTGGATGAGTGAGGGGAGACAGAACAGGGAAGCCACTGACTCCTAAATCCTTTCAACTGATACAAATCCTTGTCATTGACCACACTGACCACAGACCAGGAACTCCTTTGCCTTTTGTTTCAGTTTAGAATTTCCTAAAATTAAGACAACAGAGTGTATAGATGGGTAGGTGCCAGACACCAAGGTGCAAAACTCATAAAGGGAGCTTCCAAACTGCAATATTTGAAAAAAGAACAAAAGGACCATCATGTAGTGGGAGGAGTAGAGGATTAAGAAGGACAGGATGGACAGCACTGCCCTGATGGGGGCGCCCCTGTGGGGATCCTGGGTTCCCATAGCAGTGCTTCTCATCTGCTGGGCATGTCTCCCTAGGGAGAAAACCAAGAGCAGAACGGCGATGAGGAAGATAATTAATGGCACTGAAATATGAAAAATCAAAGTAGAAAGTAGTACAAAGTCTATTCCTTTGATCTGAGTTACATTTTTGGAGAAAAAGTTGACCAAAAAATTTTGGGTAATAGTCCATGCATGTTTTGCATAAATGCCAGTACTGAGAGATGCATACAATGTAGACCCCAGGATCAGCCAGGGCACCAAGTTGGAAATCCTCATCTTCAGCCAGAAGAACAGTGGGTGTGGGATGGTGGCGATCTTGGCACAGTAGAAAACACCAAGCCACGTGGCCAACCAAAGCCCCCAAATAGTTACAAACATGAAAATTATATTAAGCTCAGCAAATACTGACTGTTTCATGAAGGACAGAACAGCAATGTGCTCAAAGAGGATGAGAAAGTGTAGACAAATCCTCGAAGTCACTAGGCAGGAAATGAGCAGATCCAAAGGAGCCATTTTTCTCTGCTTGATGAAGTCCACCATATTCACCACCATGATGAAGCCATTTGCAAAGACCCCAGTAAGAACTTGTGTCACTGCTACAAGAAAATAGATAATGAGGCGGTGCATTGGCATCTTGGAGGAGAAAAATCTTAAAAGATGTATAAATTTTCAGACAGTTTCAGTCATTCACCCTCTCTGTTCTTCTTCAGCTAGAGCAGGACACCTTTGAGAAACATGATCCTAATCATGACGGCAATGGAGTAGGAAGGCAGTGTGCATGTGTTTATATCCCTGCTTTCTCAAATTAGTTCTGAGACATTCAAATAAGAAAGAGATAGTCCCATAATAATTTGCTTCTTACTGATGGATTTTGCATTGTCTAGCTCTGTTTAGCTCCCATGGTCCCCATAAGCAAATATGGATCTGGATACCTTCAGATGACTGCTGAGAGTCTTCTAGCTGGAGACAGCCAGAGCTCCTCAACCTTCATCTCCACCATGAGTAACTAGTTGTTTTCCAGCTGTGATTCTACTTCACATTATCAAGGTACTCTTCAAAAAACATTTAAAAAAAGGATCACTTCCACTGTCATTATTTCCCAGGCCAGGAATGTAAAACTCGCAAGTAGTTATTCTCTAATGTATGAAGGCTGAGAAAATCAGGGCTTCCTAAAATTTAAAGTAATTATTTATTAAAATATGCAGTGTACAACACAAAGTGTCAGTGAATACAAAAGCAAAGTCATAAGGGTTACAGGCATCTAGAGACACTGGAGCGACAGCCCAGTATTAGGCTGAATGGGTTCATTTATTGTTGGGAGATATTTAGAATTGCATTGTTCATTATCTTACTATTCAGATTGTTGCAATAGTCATATTTCAAATGTGTGTAAAAAGAATAGAGTCAGAAGGGACCCCTCCAAGGATAAAGCACCCAGGCTTTATTTAAAGGGTGGGAAACGAAGGCTTTGTGCGGCTAGTAAGCACCAAACTGTTTCCAAACAACTTTGTGGTTTACAGTTGATAGCCTATCACACTTTTGTCTCTGTAAGTTACTGCCCCGGCCCTGAACTTCCCTTCCAGTAGGTAATGTCCATGAAACAATTTGCTCTGGATAATTCTACTGTAGCCCATAATATTTTTTTTTTTTTTTTTGGTGTTTGTTTGTTTGTTTTTCCAGTACCAGGAATCGAACTTACAACCCTGCGCTTGCCAGGCAGGCATTGTGCCATTGAGCTAAATCCCCAGCCCCTTTTTTTGTCTTTTTGAGTCAGGGTCTTGCTCTGCACGTCTGAGCACCCCACTCCTTCCTGGGAGTGACTTCCTAATGTTTCCTGCAATACCTACAAGAAAAGAACCTTCGCTTTGCCCTGGCCTTCCCTGACTCCACTTCCTCTTTCCAGGTTGGAGAGAGACTGGCCAGCGAGGACATGTCTGCTGAACACTGACCCCAGATCTACCAGACCTAACATAGAAGCTCTCAGACTTAGACTTCCTAGGTGATGTCACCACCTTTAGTCATGGCAGACTGTGGAGAGCTCCTGGGTCGGGCACTGAAGGACTCAGGTCCCCCTAGAGAATGCACAGCTTTGGGGCTCCTCTCTGAAACATGAAGGGCTGTCCCTACAGGTCCCTCTTCAGGGAAAGGCTTCCTCCTGGCTCAATCTCTGTTCCAAAATCCTCTCTGGAAGACAGGTTGACTGAAACATAGCACAGACCTCCTGGGGCACAGGGTGTGGAGCTCAGGTGAACAGTAAAGGACATTTTCTGGCTTCAGAACCAGTGAGGTCTAGGCCTGTCTTCTCCTGTCTCATCTGTCACCTTGCTGTAGACCAGGAAGTTGCCAGGACACAGAATTTTCTTGGCTCATGGCTCTGGTCCCAGGGCAGGGCTGTGTCTCTTTCTAAGTAGCAGGGGAGAGACAGCAAGAGCACACATGTGTCTGCCCCGAACCTGGCCCTCTTTTGCCAAAGCTACTGGGGTTCATCATGGGCCCTGCTCTGACGACTTACCCCACTGTATACACTCTCAGAGGTTCTCCTCTGCACAGCAGACAGGATTAAGTTTCTTCCTTCTCATTGCCCATAGTGAGGATGAACTTCCACATAGGAACCTCAAGGGACACTCAAGCCATGTCCAGACCACAGCCATTGCCATCAACACTGCACATGCCCTTGCTTCTCCTCTTTCCTCCTTTCTTCCTTCCCTCCTCCCTGCCTTCCTTCCTTTCTTCCTACCTTTATACTTTCTTTCTTTCTTTCTTTCTTTCTTTCTTTCTTTCTTTCTTGTTGCTTCCTTGCTTTCTTTGTTTCTCATAATTTCTTTCTTTTCTTATTTCTTACTTTCCTTTCTTCTCTTCTTTCTCTTTGTCCTTTCTCTCTCTCTCTCTCTCTCTCTCTCTCTCTCTCTTTCTCTCTCTTTCTGTCTGTCTCTATCTTCCTCAATCTCCCAACCTTTCTCTTTTTGCTTCCTGTGGTTCTGGGGCCGTAACTTTAGCCTTTACACTGAGCTACATCTGCAATCTCTAACTTTTTTTTATTCAAGGTATTGTGCAGCTAAGTGGCATAGGCTAGGCACACACTTGCAATACTTATGCCTCAGTCTCCCAGATGCCTGGAATTATAATCATGTACTACCATGCTTGGTTAGCAGACCACATTTCTAAAAGCAAAGGGATGGGTGCTGAACCAGGATAGATAAAGTTCAAACTGCTGCTGGATGAGGAGAGGACAAAAGCAGTTTGGCAGGGCTGCGGAGTCAAGATAAAGAGGACTCAGAGACAAATGCTGAGATTCCTCTTCTTTTAGGTATAGCAACAAGTGCTGCATATAACAGCAAGCAGCATGATGACTGGACACCATTTCTGCAACAAATTTATTTCTAGAAAAGTGGACAGGATAATTCTTAATTATACTATATGGTTTTTCTTTATTACAACTCTTGCTAATATTACAAGTTTACAAACTTTGTCATACCTTCGTAGTTATGCTATTAACTAGCATTCCTAGAGCAAAGATATGAGAAGTGGAATTACAATTTGGTATCTGAGAAAGAAAATCCCTGTGGATTTCTGTGTGGCTGTTTGAAGTTGCTCTTGTTCTCTCTGCCCACCTGCAGGAACACACGTCCTGGTTTCACAGAGCAAGGATTTGCTGAGCGGCAGATATGAGAAGGACAAGAGTGTGTCTCCCATGTTCCTTCCCCAGCAGGAGCAGTGTTCACCTCCAGGACGCTCTGCTCTTCCCAGAGCTTCCTGCCAGAGGGAGGGACTGTGAGCTACAAACAGTATGTGGGGGCTGCTGCTTTGTTCCCTGGAGAATCAGGTCCAAGCCCTGGGAAGACACAGAGCACTCTATTTCCCACAACCAGGAGGACACACACATCTTTGGAATCTGAAGCAACTTCTCTGTGAGTTTCATGCCTGGTATTCTAAACTCACATTTGAAATCCTTAGTACTAGTAATTGGCAAATCTTTATCTACAGTTTACATCATCGCACATGAGGCAAAATTTGCAGCTAAACCTAAGAACACTGTTGATTTCATTGACTTGCCTGCAAGCAAAAGGGCTTTGAATTTGCTTTGGAAACATATTTGAACCTCTTAGTTTCCAAAATCATCAGCCAGCCCAGCAGAAAATGTATCTCTGAGGTCAAGCAGATAGGGAAGCTCCGAGGCCCTGCTCCTACTGTTGTTGTCAAACTGGGAAGAAAACCCACGTGGTAAGAGGACCACATAACCATCAGCCATTGGAAAGGTCCCAAAGTTAAGTGCTCAAGTGTATAAGGAAACACCTCTGCAAGCCATTGTCTGTACCAGCTGCAAAAATAGGGGCCAAGGGAAAGGAGACTTCAGATCTCAACTCCTCTCATGTTCTCCTCCTCCTTTTCCTCCACCTATCAGCCTTTTCATCATTTGCTACCAAGGGTCACTATAACATCTAGGTTCTCTGCACGATGGACACAGTGAACACGCTCACAGGGACATAGAAGGGCCCCCTGTCCTCAGCCTTCTTTACAGGCTAAGAAGGGCTTCATTATCTGTGACCTCAATAAAGAGGACAGCAATCATCTGCACAAAGACATGGGATGAACAGTCAACATATTTTAATCAGATGGGCCATAGAGGACCAGACATCCTACAGACAGTAGTCCTACAGTATTTGGTGTATTTTTACATAATGAGTTCAAGTAAGTGCTTTTCTTCTTCTTCGTGACTTTCAACTTTGAGAGAATTACGATTTTTCATGCACTTGGAAGATATCTTGCACAAAGATCCCCATACCCTTTATCTTGCAAGATGGCGTTTCTGTATTACAGCTGGAATTCTCGGATGGATGTAATCCACTAATATTTGTTCTGTTTTACAGATCAAGGAACACTTTTCTGAAGGTAATAAATCTGTAACATTGTCTCAGAATGTATGGGCTAAGATGATGAGCAGTACAGTTATGGACAGGATGTTTGTTGGGTGAGTGAGGGGAGACAGACACAGTGAAGCCACTGACTCCTAGACCCTATCTACTGCTGCAAATCCTTCTCACTGACCACACTGACCACAGGAACTTCTTTGCATTTTCTTTCAGTTTAGGGTTTCCTAAAATTAAGATGACAGAGTGTATACATGGGTAGATGCCAGCCACGAAGATGCAGAACTCAAAGAGGAAGCTTCCAAACTGCAGCACTTTGAAAGAGAAAAATATAACCATCATGTAGTGAGTGGAGTAGAGGATTAGGAAGGACAGGATGGACAGCATTGCCCTGATGGGGGCGCCCCTGATGGGATGCCTGTTTCCCATAGCAGTGCTTTTCATCTGCTGAGCATGTTTCCCCAGTGAAAAAATTAAGAGCAGAATAGCCAAGAGGAAGATAAACAATGGTAATATAAGATGAAAAATCAAAACTGAATGTGGTACAAGGTTCATTTCTTTGGCTTGAGTTGCATTTTTGGAGAAAACTTTGACCACAAGTTTTTGAATAATAGTCCATGCAAGTTTTGCCTGGATGCCAGTACTGATAGATGCATACAATGTAGACGCCAGGATCAGCCAGGGCACCAACTTGGAAATCCTCATCTTCAGCCAGAAGAACAGTGGATGCGGGATGGTGGAGATCTTGGTGCAGTAGAAAACACCAAGCCATGTGGCCAGCCAAAGCCCCAAAATATTTACAAACATGAAAATTATATAAAGTTCAGCAAGTACCAACTATTTCATGAAGGAGAGAAGAGTCAAGTGCACAAGGAAGATGAACAACTGGAGACAAATCCTCGAAGTCACCAGGCAGGAAATGAGCAGATCCAAAGGAGCCATTTGTCTCTGTTTGATGAGGTCCACCGCATTCACCACCAAGATGAAGCCATTTGTGAAGACCCCAATAAGAAACTGTGTCACTGCTATAAAAAAATAGGTAATGAACTGATGTGTTAGCAGGTTGAGAGCAGGAAAATCAGTCACTTCTTCGAAGATGTATAGATTTTCAAGCAGTTTCCATCATTCACCCTCTCTGTTCTTCAGCTAGAGCAGGACCCCTTTGAGAAGCATGATCCTAATCATGAAAGCAAAGGAGTAGGAAGGCAGTGTGCATGTGTTTATATCTCTGCATTCTCAATTAAGTTCTGAGACATTCAAATAAGAAAGACATAGTCTGGAAGTAATTTGCTTCTTGCTGATGACTTTTGCATTTTCTAGTTCTTCTTATCTTTCTTCATTCCCATAAGCAAATAGTGGAACTGGATACCTTCAGATGACTGCTGAGAGCCTTCTCAGCTGGAGAACCAGCCAGAGCTCTTCAGCCTTCATCTCCACCATGAGTAACTAGTTGTGCCATAGGTGTGATTGTACTTCACATTATCAAGGTATTGTTTCAAAAAACACCTTTAAAAAAGTCACCACTACCATCATGTTTGAGGTCCAGCAATGTAATATTCCCATGTAGTAATTCTCTAATGTACCAGGGCTGGGAAAATGAGCACCACCTCAAATTTATTTATTTATTTTTTTTAGTTTGTTTGTTTTTTTGGTTTTTTTTTTCCAGTACTGGGAATTGAACTCACGACCTCACGCTTGCCAGGCAGGTGCTGTGTCACTGAGCTAAATCCCCAACCCCACCACCTCAAATATAAAGTAGTTATGTAATAAAACATGCCAGGTACAAGCTGAAGTATCAGTCAATATCAAAGCAAGGCAATAAGGGTTCCATGTATATGTGGACATTGCATCCAAACCCCAGCATGAGAGAAAATGAGGGCAGTTATTGGAGGCCATATTTAGAATTGCAATGTTCATTATTTTAATATTCAAATGGTTACAATGCTCATTTATATCTGTATATAGTAGAGGGTCAGAAGGGACCCTCTCGAGTGGTAAAGACTCAGGCCCTTTTCAGAGCATGGAAAAATGTAGCTGGTGGCTGTGAGCACCAATTTCTAAACAACTTTGTGGTTTAGAACTGATAGCCTGTCACACTGTGTCTGTGTAAGCTACCGCCTCCCCTTATATGTCCCTTCTGGTATGTAATGTCCCCAAAACAAATGGCTCTGAATAATTCCCATATAGCTCACAAGACTGAACCCCTAACCACAAGCCCAGTATCCAGTCAATCAAGTATCTTGACACTCAGGTGTGTGGAGATGGGACCCACAACACATAAAGCAGGACAGCAGCTGCAGATTTTGTGGTGTCATAGCTCTGAATACCCTACTCCTTCCTTGGGATTGCTTTGTAATATTTCTTGCAATGTCTGCAATAAAAGACTCTGGCTTTGTACTGGTCTTCTCTGGCTCCTCTTCCTCTTCCTATGTGGGAGAGAGAAACGACCAGAGAGGGTGAGTCAGGTGAACTATAGACACCCCTGGAACCTTTAAACTGTGCTACATCTGCAGCCTGAAATATTTTTTGATCAAGGTGTTGCCATGTTGATATGTTGCCCAGGCTAGACTCACACTTGCAGTCCTCCTGCCTCAGCCTCCCAGAATCCTGGAATTCTAGGCATGCACTACAACACTTAGCTAACCAACACCATTTGTAAAATCAGAGGTAGCGGCTGCGCCCATATAGATAGAGGTCAAACTGCTCCTGGATAAGAGGAGGACAAAAACAGCTTGGCAGGGCTGTTGAGTTCAGATAGAGAGGAATCCAGAGAGACAGGGCTGAGACTTCTGTGTTTGTTTTATTTTAAAGGGAATTTTAAAAAAAAGAACAACAGCAAAATGCCAATAACATAGACAAAAATAAAACAAAGCAATTGTTCTTCTGTTTTTAATACAGAGCAATCAGTGCTGCACACAAAACACCCAGCAACACAATATCTCAGCAACATTTTTGCATGAAATTTATTTCTAGGTAAGCAGCAGAGTCATGTTTGCAGAAGTTTACTATACTTTATGGTTTTCTTTATTACAACTATTAGAAATATTACAAGCTTGCAAACTTAGTCGTACCTTCCTAGTTATGCTATTAACTAGCACTCTTAGAGCAAAGATACAAGAAATTGAATTACAATTTGGTAACTGAGAAACAAAATCTCCATGGATTTTTCCCGGGATGCTTGAAGCTGCTCCTGCTCTCCCTGCCCACCCGCAGGAACACACGTCCTGTGTTGACAGAGCAAGGATCTGCTGAGCGGCAGACGTGAGAAGAACAAAGTGCATCTCCTGTGTTCCTTCCCCAGCAGAAGCAGGGTTCACCCCCAGGACACTGTGCTCTTCCCAGAGCTGCCTACCAGAGGGAGGGACTATGGGATATGTACAGGAAGTGGGGTTACTCCTTTGTTCCCTGGAGAATCAGGTCCAAGTCCTGGGAAGACACAGAGCACTCTCATTCCCACAGCCAAGAAGACACTGGAATCTCCAGGTCTTCTGAGACAACTCTTCTCTGAGTTACATGTCTGTGATTTGACAGTCAGAATTAACATCCTTCCTACTGGTGATTGGCAAATCTAAATCTAACACAGTTTATACACCATCACACATGAACCCAAATTAACAGATATTCATAAGAATATTTTTTATTTCATTGACTTGCCTGAAAGTAAAAGGGTTTTGAATTTGTTTTGGAAACATACATGATTCCCTTATTTTTTGAAATTGTCAGCCAGCCAGCAGTAAATACAGCTCTGAGGTCAAGTAGATGTGGACATCCCAGCACCTCCAACTACTAGTGTTACCTCACTGGGAAGACAAGCCATGTAGTAGGAAGACCAAATAACCACTATCAATTGGAAAAGAGCACAAATGTACAAAGAAACACTTTTGCAAGCAATTGTCTGTCCAAGGTGCACAATTAGGAGACATGAAAAGAAGCCTTCAGATTTCAATTCTTCTCTCTTCTCCTCCTCCTCCTTTCCCTCCGTCAGCCTTTTTATCCATTACTCAATAGAGTCATCATGACATCTAGGTTCTCTTAGCAGCAGACACAGCGAATATTCTCACAGAGATCTAGAAGGGCTCCATATCCTCAGCTTTCTTTCCAATCTAAGAAGGGCTTCTTTATCTGTGACTCCAATAAAGAGAACAGAAATTATCTGCAAGTAGCCAGGGGATGAACAGTCAGCCCATTTGAGACACATAAATCCTATAGAACAGACATTCTGCTGACAGTGGTGCTGCAGGATTCTGTATGTTTCTGGCATCACAAGTTCAAGTAAGTGCTTTTCTTCCTCTTCAAGACTTTCAACTGGGGCTGGGGATTTAGCTCAGCGGCAAAAGCACCTGCCTGGCAAGTGCAAGGTCGTGAGTTCGGTTCCCGGTACCGGAGGAAAACCAAAACCAAAAAAAAAAAAAAAAAAGACTTTCAACTTTGAGGGAATTGTGACTTCTGCACTTGGAAGACATCGTACATACAGATCTCCTTACTATTTATCTTGCAAGATGGTGGTTCCATATCACAAACAGAACTCTGACATAGATGTAATCCACTGACATTTGTTGTGCTTTACAGATCTATGTGCCCTTTTCTGAAGGTAGCAAATCTATAACCATGTCTTAGAATGTATGGGCTAAGATGATGAGCAGTACATTTATGGAAAGGATATTTATTGGGTGAGTGAGGGGAGACCAACACAGGGAATCCATTGACTCCCAGATCCTTTCAATTGATACAAATCCTTCTCACCAACTGCACTGAGCCAAGAGCAGGAATTTCTTTGCATTTTGTTTCAATTTAGGGTTTCCTAAAATTAAGATGACAGAGTGTATAGATGGGTAGGTGCCAGCCACCAAGGTGCAGAATACAAGGAGGTAGCTTCCAAACTGCAATATTTGAAAAATATTCAGAAAGCCCACGGTATAGTAGGAGAAGTAGAGGATTAGGAAGGACAGGATGGACAGCATTGCCCTGATGATGTCTCCCCTGCAGGGGTCCTGGGTTCCCATAGCAATGCTTCTCATCTGCTGTGCATGTCTCTCTAGGGAGAAAATCAACAGCAGAAGAGCGATGAGGAGATAATTAGTGGCAGTGTAGTATGAATTAAAATAAACAAAGATGGCATATCTATTTCCTTGATTTCAGTTGTATTTTTGGACAAAAAATTAACAAACAGTTTGGGGTAGTAGTCCATGAATATTTTCTTTGGATAGCAGTAATGATAGATACATACAATGTAGACCCAAGCATCAGCCATGGCACCAGCTTGGAAATCCTCATCTTCAGCCAGAAGAACAGAGATTGTGGGATGGTGGCGATCTTGGTGCAATAGGAAACACCAAGCCATGTGGCCAGCCAAAGCCCCCAGTCATTTACAAACAAGAAAGTTATATAATACTCAGCAAATGTTGACTCGTTCATGAAGGAGAGAAGAACCAGGTGCACAAGTAGGATGTGCAAGTGCAGACAAATCCTTGAGGTCACAAGACAGGAAATGAGCAGATCCAAAGGAGGCATTTTTCTCTGCCTGATGAAGTCCACCACATTCACCACCATGATGAAGCCATTTATAAAGACCCCAGTAAGAAACTGTGTTACTGCTATAAGGAAATGGATGATGAGGTGATGCTTTAGCATGTTGGGAGGAGGAAAATCTTAGAAGATGTATAGATTATCAGATACCTTCAAGTACTCATTCTCTGTGTTTTTCTTCTGCTAGAGCAGGACCCTTTGAGGAGCATGATCCTAATCACAAAGACTATAGAATAGGAAGGCAGTGTGCATGTGTTTATATCACTGCTGTCTCAATTTAGTTCTGTGATATTCAAACAAGAAAGAGATAGTCCAGCAATAATTTGCTTCTTGCTGATGGCTTTTGCATTTTCTAGTCCTTCTTTGCTTCCATGGTCCCCATAAGCAAATAGCAGAACTGGATACCTTCAGATGACTGCTGAGAGCCTTAGCTGGAGAACCAGTCAGAGCTCCTCAACCTTCATCTCCACCATGAGTAACTAGCTGTGCCACAGCTGGGGTTCCACCTGACATGATCAAGGTATTCTCCAAAAAACATTTAAGAAAAGATCTCTTCCTCTATCATTATATCCATGGCCAGCAATGTAAGGCTCCCATGTAGTAATTCTCTAATGTACAAAGAATGAGAAAATCAAGACGTGCTATAATTTAAAGTAGATATATAATAAAATATGCAGGCTACAACACAAAGTATCACTCAATATAAAAGCAAGGCCATCAGGGTTCCAGGCATCAGAGACAATGGAGCAACACTTCAGTGTGAGGCTGAATGAGCACATTTATTGTTGGGAGATATTTGGAATTGTGGTGTTCATCATTTTACCATTCAGATGGTTGTAATACTCATATTTTAAATGTCTGTATATAGTGTAGGGTCAGAAGGCACCACTCTTGAGGGTCAAAGACCCAAGCTCTTTTTAGAGTGTGAAAAATGGATGCTCCAGTAATTTCCAAACAACTTTGTGGCTTAGAGCTGATAGTCTGTCACACTCGTGGGTGTTTCAGCTACCATTCCCTCAAAATTTCCCTTCCAATATGTGATGTTCACAAAGTAATCTGCTCTGGAAAATTACTCTTCAGCCCCCAAGACTGAAGCTCTATCCCCAAGTGCAATATCTACTCAATTAAGAGTCCTCACTCAGGAGGGTGGAGACAGCACCCTACCCCATAAAAGAGGGTCACAGCCCCAGGTCTGGCATTGATGCAGGTCTGAGCACCCCACTCCTTCCTGCGGGTGGCTTCCCAATGTTTCCTGCAATACCTACAAGGAGAGAACCCTTACTTTGCACTGGCCTTCCCTGACTCCTCTTCTTCCTTCCATGTCAGAGAGAGAGACTGGCCAGTGAGGACACGTCTGCTGACCACAGACCCCAGACCCACTGGACCTAACAGGGGAAGCAGGCAGACTTAGACTTCTCAGTGATGCAACCACCTTTACTCATGGCAGACTGTGGAAAACTCTTGGGTCAGGCAATGAAGGACCAGGTCACAATGGGGAGTGCACAGCTTTGGGGCTCCTCTCTGAAATACAAAAGGCTGTTCCCCCAGGTCCCTCTTCAGGAAGAGGCTTCCTCCTGGCCCAAACTCTGTTCTGAAGCCATCTCCGGAAGCCAGGCTGGCTGCAGCACAGCACTGACCTCCTGGGGCACAGGGTGGAGGGCAGGTGGACAGCACAGGGCATCTCCTGGCTTCAGAACCAGTGAGGTCCAGGCCTGTTTAATCCTGTCTCATCCTGTCACCTTGCTGCATCCTGGGGGAGTTACCGGGAAGACAGGTTGTCCTTGGCTCACGGCTCTGGTCCCAAGACAGGGCTGTGTCTGCTTCAGGGTAGCAGGGGAGAGACTGCTAGAGCACCCCTGTTTCTGCTCTGCACCTGGTCCTCTTCCCCCGAAGCCACCAGGGTTCATCATGGGCCCCACTGTGATTACTCAGTCCACTGTAAGCACCCCAAGGATTCCCCTCTAAACAGCAGAGGAAATTACATTTTCTCCTTCTCATTCCCCATAGCAAGCACAAACTTACACACACACACACACACACACACACACACACACACACACACACACACACACACCTCGATGGACACTCAAGCCATATCCAGATCATAACCAATGCAATAAACCTGTCTCACACCCTTTCTACCTTCCTCATCTCATTCTGCCTCCCTTTCTCACCTCCTGTCTTCCTTCCTTCCTCACTTTATTCTTTCTTGCTTGCTTTGCTGTTCTGTATCTCATCCTTTCTTCTTTTCTTGCTTCCAACCTTCTTTTCTTCCTCCTTTCACTTTGTTTTCTTTGTTTTTTTCTCGTTCTCTCTTTCTGTCTCTGTCTCTGTCTTTCTTTCTCTCTCCCCTTTTACTTTTTCTTCCTGTGGTTTTGTGGATGCTACTGGAGCCTCCACACTGAGGTACATCTGCAACCTCTAAACATTTTCTTGATCCAGTATTGCTCTTTGGCTAAGTTACCCAAGGTAGGTTGGTACTTGAAATCCTCCTGCCTCAGCTGCCCAGAGTCCTAGATCATAGGTATACAGTAACATGCTTGGCTAGGAGGCCACATTAAAAGTGGAAGGATGAGTTGTGTGTGGGGATATATAGAGGTGAAACTGCTGCTGGATGAGGGAAGAACAAAAGCAATTTGCCAGGGTTGCTGAGTCCAGAAAAAGAGGGCTCCAGAAAGACAAGGCTGAGCCTCTTCTGCTTTTAAAACGCAGCAATGAGCGCTGTGCTCAAACCCAGCAGCACAATATCTAGGCAACGTTTTTGCAAGAAATTTTTTGAAGGAGAGCTGGCAGTGGTTATGCTTTTAGAATGCTCTATTGTGCTTTGCAGTTTTACTTTGTTATAAGTCTTGGCAATATTACAAGTTCACAAACTTAGTCATGCCTTCCTAGTTATGCTATTAACTAGCACTCTTAGAACAAAGATAGAAGAAGTAGAATCACAATTTGGTGTCTGAGAAACAAAATCCCCATGGATTTCTCACTGGATATTTGAAGTTACTCCCATTCTCACCTGCAGGAGCACACATCCTGGGTTCACAGAGAAAGGATTTGCTGAGCAGCAGATGTGAGAAGAACAAGAGTGTGTCTCCAGTGTTCCTTCCCCAACAGGAGCAGTGTTCACCTCCAGAACACTGTGCTCTTTGCAGAGCTCCTACCAGTGGGAGGGACTGTGAGCTACACATAGGAAGTGGGACTGCTCCTTTGTTCCCTGGGGAACCAAGCCCGAGAAGACACCAAGTACTCTGCGTCCCATAGTCAGGAAGACACAACCATTTCAGGATTATCTGAGGTACTCTGCTATGAGTTGTATGTCTGATATTCAAAATCAGAATTTGAATCCTTAGTGCTGGTGACTGGCAAATCTAAATCTAATACAGTTTATACATCATCACACATGAGCCCAAATTAAGAGGTAAACTTAAAAGCATCTTTTATTTCACTGCCTTGCCTGAAAGCCAAGGGGCTTTGAATTAGGAAATGTGCATGAGCATCTTACTTTCCAAAATCATCAGCCAGGTTAGGAGAAAGTGCGTCTCTGAGGTTAGGCACATGGGAACATCCCCAGCCAATCCCATCTACTGGATTTGCCATACTGGGAAGACAAGGCATGTAGTAGGGGAACCAAATAACACCATCATTTGGAAAGGTCCTGAAGCCAAGTGCACAAGAGTATAAAGAGACAACTCTGCAAGCCATTGTCTGTTCAATGTGCACAATTAGGGGAAATGGAAAAGGAGCCTTCAGATCTCAACTCCTCTCTCTTCTCCTTCTTCTTTTTCTCCTCTTCAAATCCTTTTCATCATTTGTTATGAAGTGTCACCATGACATCCAGGTTCTCTGCACGATGGACAGAGTGGACATGCTCACACTGATAGAGAACGACTCCCTGTCCTCAGCTTCCTTTCTGGTCTAAGAAGGACTGCATTATCTGCAACTCAAATAAAGTGCACAGAAATCATACTCAGAAAAAAAAAAAAAGAAAAAAAGAGAAATCATACTCAGGTAGACAAGGGATGAACTTTCAATCTGCTTGAGTCAGATAAACCATTAAAAACTATATATCCTGCCCACAGAGACGCTACAGTACTCAGTGTGTTTCTGACATTGCAAGTTCAAGTAAGTGTTTTCTTCCTCTTCAAGACTTTCAACATTGATGGAATTGTGGCTTTCCATGTGCATGGTAGCTAACCTGTGCCAAGATCTCTGCACTATTTTTCTTGCAAGATGGCAGTTCCATATCACAACCAGAACTCCGACATAGATGAAACCCAGTGATATTTGCTATTTTTTTTACATATCAGTGTCACCTTTTGTGAAAGGAGCAAATCTCTAACCATGCCTCAGGATGCATGGGCTCTGATGATGAACTGTAGATTTGTGAACAGAATGTTATTCGGTGAGTGAGGGGAGACAGACATAGGAAAGCCATTGACTCCTAGATCCTTTCAAGTGATCCATATTCTTTTCACTGACCACAGAGAAGGAACTTCTTTGCAATTTGTTTCAGCTTAGGATTTCCTACAATTAAGATGACAGAGTGTATAGATGGGTAGGTCCCAGCCAGTAAGGTGAAGAACTCAAAGAGGAAGCTTCCGAACTGCAATATTTGACCAAAGAGCAAAATGACCATCATGTAGTGAAAGAAGTAGAGAAATAGAAAGGACAGGATGGACAGTATTGCCCTGATGGGGGCCCCCCAGCGGACATTGCTGGTTCCCATAACAATGCCTCTCATCTGCTGGACATGTCTCCCCAGGGAGAAAATCAAGAGCACAACAGCAATGAAGAAGACAATTAATGGCACTGTAACATGAAAAATCAAAATAGAAAGTGGCACAATGTCTATTCTTTTGGTTTGAGTTGCATTTTTGGAGAAATAGTTGACCACAAATGCATGTTTCTCGTGGATGCCAGAACTGATCGATGCATACAGCATAGACCCCAGGATCAGCCAGGGCACCACCTTGGAAATCCTCATCTTCATCCAGAAGAACAGTGGGTGCGGGATGGTGGCGATCTTGGCACAGTAGAAAACACCAAGCCACGTGGCCAACCAAAGCCCCCAAATATTTAGAAACATGAAAATTATATTAAGCTTAGAAAATACCTCCTGTTTCATTAAGGACAGAAGAGGTAGATGTGCAAGGAAGATGAACATCTGCAGAATAATCCTTGAAGTGGCCAGGCAGGAAATGAGCAGATTCAGAGGAGCCATTTGTCTCTGCCGGATGAAGTCCACCGCATTCACCACCACGATGAAGCCATTTGTGAAGGCCCCAGTAAGAAATTGTGTCACTGCTATAAGGAAATGGACAATGAACTGATTTGTCAGCATGTTGGAAGGAGGAAAATCAGCCATCATTCACCCTCTCTGTTCTTCTTCAGCGAGACTAGGACCCCTTTGTGGAGTGAGATTCTAATCATGAAGGCAATAGAGTAGAAAGGTCTGTGTACTTGTTTTTATCACTACTGTCTCAATTTAGTTTGGAGACATTCAAATAAGGAAGTGATAGTCCAGCAATAATTTGCTTCTTGCTGGTGGCTTTTGAATTTTCTAGTTCTTGGTAGCCTTCCTGGTCCCCATAAGCAAATAGTGGAACTGGATACCTTTAGATAACTACTAAAAGCCTTCTCAGCTGGAGAAACAGCCGGAGCTCCTCAACCTCCATCTCCACCATGAGTAACTCATTGTGCAGCAGCCATGATTCTACTTCATATTATCAAGGTATTCTATAAAAAACACTTTTTTATTTTAAAGATAAAAGAATGAAAACATATTAAACACACAGGTATGAACAACACAGCATAAAAACAATAAAAGCAATACAGAACTTCAGACAAGGTGATAGGAAATTAACAATAGTTGTTGTATTACATATTGTTGTCTTCAAAGTAGTTACTCAGATTACCAGATATAAGTATGCAAGAGTGATCAAACAATTAAACATTAACTGTCTCTTTCAATAAAGCAATAGAAATTAGTAGTACAATTAACCCAGCTATCTTATGTATACATGCATACATATGTTTTCCCTTTCTCTCTCTCTCTCTCTTTCTTTCTTTCTTTCTTTCTTTCTTTCTTTCTTTCTCTCTTTCTTTCTTTCTTTCTTTCTTTCTTTCTTTCTTTCTTTCTTTCT